AAGTCCACTTTTGTCGACAAAACTATACCTGCGTTTACACTACCGCTGAGTTCTGTCAACATAACGTAGACAGAACTCAGCAGTTTTGTCAATGGAGGTAAACCTCATTCGACGAGGAATAACGCCTTTTGTCGACAGAAGGCATTATTGCATCTACACCGTCCGTTGCGTCTACACTGTCATGTCGCCAAAGCGGCTTGCTTTGTCAACAGAACTGGATGTAGTCTAGACGCTCTTTGTTGACAACAGCTTTGTCAATAGTATCTGTCGACAAAACTTCTGTCGACAAAAGCCTGTAGTGTAGACGTACCCTAACATCCCAACTCACAACCACAAACAGAAGTTTAACCTTTTTAGCCATCTTGCAATGCTTGGTGCACAAGGGCCAGACTGAAAATATACTTCAAGTAAATGTCTTTCTACTCTTAATAGAGCAGGAACAAGTACTGGCCACTTTCATCTTCAACAACATCCTTCTTACAGAGTTTATTTGCCTGCCATCTCTAAAAAAAATTTTCTAACCACCCCAATTACCAATATTTGTGAATTTATGACACGGCACTTATCCCACACAATGTTTTTCAAATAAATAATTTATCTTACAAATCAGTAATGTCACTACAGAGTGACCATTTCTAAGCACAACTTAGATATTCCCTGGCAAATCTTTTTAAGTAACAGATTCCAAATGTCTTTTTCAACAATATATAATGCTACTGTATGTATATTTCTTGTACAGGCAGTCCCCGACTTAACGCGGATCTGACTTATGTCGGATCCGCACTTATGAACGGGGCTTTCTCGCCCCGGAGGTCAAGGTGGCGGATTGCTACCTGCGAGCTCCAGGGCGAGAAAGCCCCGTTCGTAAGCTGCTCCGGTGCCCCTGGTCTGCTGGAGACCATCTCCAGCAGACCAGGGGCACCGGGCGGGTTCCCGCGCTTCTGAGGCTTTGCCAGAGCAAAGCCTCAGAGGCGTGGCACCCCGCTGCCGCTGCGGCTTTGCTCCCCATGTCCCTGGTCTTCTGGGGGGGAGGGGCGCAGCTAGTGCGCCGCCCCCCCCCAGCCGACCAG